CCACAAGGGAGGGCTGCATCCAGCATCAGAGAAGAGAGGGCCAAATATACGTGAAGACCTTCCCCAAGCTCTATATACCGCAGGTGCATACCACATGTTCAGTTTTGCTTTGAGACATCTCAGGGACTTCGGGCTCTCTTGGCAGGGCAGGGAATTCCTTTTCATTCTTCTCTGAACAAGAAAGGAAAAAAATGGAAGGGTTTAGTTTGGTCACTTCATTTAATACAAACATATACAACAAGCAAAGAAAATCTCAAGGCTCTGCTGTGTGGTTGGCACTGTGTTAGGTATTGAAAACACACTGATGAATAAGAAAAACCTGGTTTCCATCCTTGGGAACTCAGATCAGGGAGGTAGATGCTGAATAATTAACTCAAAATTATTGTTTAGCTATAAGCTACCATAATGCTACAAAAGAAAAGTATGGAGGCACAGGAAAGTATTTAAACTTATTTTGGGGCAGGGGTGGGAGTGGTGGGGGATCAGAGATGGCTTCTTGGAGGAAGTGACACAAACTGGAGACCTGAGGATGAATGGGAATTATCCAGGCAAAGGCGGTGGTGGTGGTGGTGGTGCACCTGGAGCAGAGAGTTTCAGGTGAGCAGAGATGACAGCTGGTAGAAAGGCCCTGAAGCAGAAAAGCTTTGATAGCTTGGGGAGTGCAAAGAGGCCTCTTCCCATGGCCCTGCCTTTTAAGAAACAGGCACTTCTGTCCTCTCTCCATGGAGGCATGTACCCAAAGGATCAGGCATGACCTTTCTATTCCTCCTTTCAATAGTCAGACGGCCTGTATGGGAAGAGGTTTGAACAGCATCCCTAACCAGGGGATTCAACAGTCCAGGTACTACTTGCTGCAAACTGCTGCCTTCATGAATAGAAGAAGTTTCCTTAAAATGAAGGAAAAAGACATGAACACCTTCTACTGAAATCCTCCAAGGCTTATTGCAAGTATCATTCATCCATTACATAGCACCTTCCATCTGACTTGGTGACTTATTTATTTATTTTGCAGATCCATGTGATGACCACACAACGGGAGGTTTCTGGGAGCCTCAGCTTCAATATCCCATGCATAATTCAAATATGCCATTAGTTGGGTCTCCTTATTCTCAATAAAATGATTCAATCAATAAATTTTAAACAAAAGGTAGAGGGTAGGCAGTGTAACAGTGGTTGAGAGTATAGGCTCTGAAGCTGGATGCCTTAGGTTTGAATCCTGGCTCCTTTATCAGCTGCCTGGTCTCGGGCAAATTACTTGTTCTTTCTGTGCCTCAGTTTCCTCTTCTGTAAAATGGGGATAATGACACCTATAGGTTATCATGAGGATTAAATGGACCAGAAAGTAGTATAAAGCAAATACCTCGAGCTTAGCAAGTGTTCAATAAATGTTAACTAATAGTTTTTTCTAGGTAAGGATGTTTTTATACATAAATTCACATATCAGATTTAAAAGACTTTTGTTAGACTTTTAGCACTGCACCAATGAATCATTTTGAATCTTCTCCCGCAGTTTTACTATGGAGATGACAATGTGATTTCATAATCTTCTCTGGAGCTCCAGCACCCACAATTTCAATAAGGACTCAAGGCATACTTGATGAATAAATGAATGACCATGTGCACTAATTTGTAGTTTGGAAAATAAAGTTACTGAATATTTAGTTCTGTTTTCCCGATTTCTTTTTTGATTCTTGAAGAGGAGAGATTTTCCTCTGCGTTTCTTTATCCTCCCATACCTAACCCAGATGCTATATAGATAAACCTTAACAGACACTCAATGAGGATTATAAAGGCAGCCAGCTAGGGCAGCCCCTTCCAGGCAGATCTCTTTTTTTTTTTTTTGTCTTTTTTGTCTTTTTCCATTTCCGGCAACGGATCGCAACCCTCAGTGTTGCCTCCGTACCGGACCGGGGACCGGCAACGGG